CAAAGGGCAAAGGGGCCATCATGGCCCTCACTGGAATCTAGTCCACATGCTTTGCGGGGCAGCTAGTGTAGACACTCCTTGGACTCAAGCCCCGCCTTCGCGCCCTGGTGCCCGTTCGTGGCTGTTGTCGATCAGCAGTCGCGCAACAGGGACAGGCATAGTCGAAAACGGGCATTGAACGCCGTTGCAGATTGGGACCTCCGGGGGGTTCCTGTGGTAACTTCTCGGCAGAGTTGATGTTGGTGAGGACCATCCGGCGTTCACAGCCTGACGTTTCCAGCCTATCGGGGTAGCATGAGCGCGGCGCTCGCTCCTCGATAGCTGCCAAGGCAGTTGTAGAAAGGCGCAAAGAGATGGTAACGGTGGCCGTTCGGGGTGTGTGAAGACCTGTGGACAGTGAGGGCGTTGGAGGTTGAACCGCGGCTGCGACAATCCGAGGCGAAAATCAAAGAGCTCGGAAGCCCAGAAGCAGGTCACGCTGCCACACGAGTGTCGGAAGCCCAGCCCCGCAGAGGGGTCCTCTTGGGGCCATTTCGTACACATTGAAACTCCGAACCACCAACGAAAAATGCCCAGCCCATCCGCCGCATGTCTTTAGGCTTTTCTGAAGCGTGGTGATACGCACTGGTCTCTCCAAAACCGCGACATGCAAGTTGTATTGGGAATGCGCATCGGCTGATGGCCCGCGTGTTCGCATTTCTTTTGGGTTTTGTGAGTTGGCGGCGTCGCCCGCTGTCCGCGGCAAATTTGCGCGTGCGCTGTTTGTGTGAAGCTGCGACTCCACTGTCGAGGTCACTTCTGAAGAAAAGCCCCGCACCGGCGCGGGGGGAGCGTCCCGCCAGACCCCAATCGTGTGGTCGCACGCGCAGGAAAACCGCGCGGATCCGGCGCCGACTCCGAGGTAGACGACACCACCGCAAACCCGGCTTCAGAGCCATCCCTCCGACGCCTTAACGTGCCCGCACTCAGGTCGCTGCGCCCCGTTGTCGGTCGCCCTCAACCGAACCGCCAGCTCAGATTTTCACTGCGCTGTGGCGGGGGCGGGACTGCTTCTTGTCGATTTCTCCAACCAGAGGCGCGCACCCGCCGCTGCGCACGCAAACTTCCCATCTTCAGTACGGCCGAACATTACGTAACCCTCCCCCTTGGCCCCGACAGACCACTCCCCAGCCACGGCTGCGTGGCGTCCAGTACGCGCCCCAGTGCCCCGCCTTCTCATCCATCCATCGGTCATGGCCGTTCGCGCACCGCCCCATCGTCAAAATCAAGCCAGTCTCGCCGGGCGGCGCGGACGGGTGCGCCGTGTGTGCCCTTTGCCGCACACACGCTGAGCGCGCCGTGCCGTGCGCCGGCCAGCAGCGAAAGACCCCTCGCTGGCAAGTCCTCCCGTTGGCCTTCTGAGCGAGCCCAGCCCGCTTGAGGCCCCTTGGTGGTGCTCCTCCCCGGTGGAAAGAAAGGGGGCGGCGGCCCGGCGCCCCGCTGCTCTCTCGCCGGGAGATCGCTAAAAGCGGACCGCGGCGGGCCGGCCTAGGAGCCCCCCGCGGCGGGGAACGCTCGGGAGGCCGCGATCCGCCGCGGCTCGGGTCCCTGTCAGCATGACGAGGTGGGGACATGGCTGCGAAATGCGCCCGCCCGCGATGGCCTGGTGGCCGATTGTCCGGCTGCATTGCTAGAAGTGCGGCGCAGGTGTTGGGCGCGCCGCGCTTGGCCGTCCTGTGGGCGGCGTCATTTGATGAGGCGACCGCCTGCGATAGTCTCTAGGGTTGCTCGAGACGGAAGAATGCGTCCGCGCTGCTGGGCGGCTTGGGAAGGAGGAGAGGGGAAGGCGATGATCGCCTGTCGGCGACGGACCGGTCCGAAAAGGACGGTGCTTGGTCGGGCCCAGAGAACGGATGCAGCTCGGGCGTGCATCGGGCGCCGCGCCTTGCGGGCCCCGGCTGCTGCGACTCCGGGGCGCGGGGGGGGGAAAGCTTGCGAAGTGTGACGGATTGGTCGCGGTGGGGGGGCCCGCCTGGCTGGTGGCCTCGAAAGCTGCCGAACGGGCACGGCGCCGGTGGTTTGATCCGTGGCTCGCAGCGGCGGAAGGGAGCGCCGGGAGGCGGACCATGGAAACCGGGCAAGCGCGGAGGTGATCGACAAGGGGCGGCTGCCGTAGCCGTTCCGGCGGCCGTCGCGGTGCTCACCTGGCTCTCGCGATCGTCGGGGCAGGGGCGCGGCAAAATGTCGAGCCTATCGCTTGCTGCAGCCATCTCCGCTTGTAACCATTTGAAATAGCCATATGTATTATATGCTGTACCTCACCCTCAGTGAATTCTCATACTTTGAACTTTGGGCGATGTGTCGTTCGTTCGGCCCGCCTCGCGCTGTTCGGGCCCGTGGCGGACGTGCGCCGGGGCGTACGGCCGGCCGACCGAGGGCCGGTTCGTCGAAAGTTCGCACCGCCGGCTCCCCGTCGGCACTTCGCGGGTTCCGGTCGGGCCGTGTACTTCCTTAGTTACGTGGCCGGTCGCCCCCTTTTTGGCCGCGGGCCGCGATCGACTTCGGGGCTGCGGCCCAGGGCGCGTCGCTAGCGGTGGCGCTGCCCAGGTCTGCGCGTTCCTTTTCCTTCGCCTGTCGGCCTGTGAGATGCTCTTCAAGCGACAGCTCTGCTCTCCGGATGTGGTTCCTTGTCCGCGGGCCCGATTTCTTTACTCCGAGCCACGGGAGCCGCGCGGGCGAATTTGACACCCAAGCTTTGCGCGCTGCATCAGGTTCCCCCTCCCGTGCCCGAACGAACACTCAAGAAGCAAGAACGGTTGAGGGGGTCAACCCCACGAAGCCAAGTACGCAACGCACCTCATTCCGAACTTTACGTCTCCAGCGCGTGCTGGCGAACCGCTTCAAGGACTCCGTCGCTGGCGCGAGGGCCATGGTTTGGTTTCAGAGGAGGTCGTCCATGGCCGTCAAGGCGCGGCCCTCCACCTTTGACGCGTTTGTCGGGCGGCGCTCGTCTTCCTTTGACACGATCGCCGTCCTGCCTGGCAACATGCCCATGGAGTCCCCCGCCGTCGTGGAGGAGGTCGCCCCTGGGCTGAGCGACCCGGCGGGGGACAGAACACAGGCCCAGTGTCCCAGGTGTGCACACCCGGTGGTCCTTGTTCGGTGAAAGGAATGTCATGGGCATAGGCGTTGCGCCCACTGAACAACAGTTTCATTGGGGATCTTGTCCATGGTGAAGTGAAGAAGACTGATGAACCTGCTGGGTGTGAAGTGGAGTGAATGCAGAGCTGGACGGAAAGCTGTAGAACGTGCACTCGGAGGGGCCTGCGTGAGCAGAACCCTTTGAAGCCATGGAAGAGTCCATTGCTGGCATCACACTGGCCAGGCACACAAATGTGGCAAAAGGCATCGTCTGCTTGGGTTGATGCAGTTGCGGGACGATGGATGCAGTTTCAGTTTATGTTGCCAGTTCTATGTGCGGCGAATCGTGCTGAAGGTCAGACCTTGCTGCCGTACATGCCATCAGCATGCATATGGACTTGTTTGTGCACTCTTCTGGAATCGCTCTTTCCCTACTGAACTTTGACAAAAAATTAATGTGGGATTGCTCAGGTAGATGCTTGCTCAGAGTGCATTCGCCCAAAGGGGGAATGGAAATGCTGCACTTGGGACTTTCAAAGACGATGGCAGTGTTGCATGTTCACAGTTTTTGCTCGCGAACAGCTGCTCATTACAACCCACTGTATGGCATTGCTGTGCTTGGAATAAGTTGTGTTGTTGGATCAGAGCTAACTTGAAGTTTATGATTTGTGTGCAGACGCAGTAGGGGTCGATTCTTCGGGTTGAGGCTGAGGCTGCCGCGGTTTGGGTCAAAAGATGATGGCAAACGCACTGGCCCTCCAGCGATTTCTGCCACGAGTGGAGGTTGCTGGCATCGTTTTCCAGACGATAACTGCTTTGGCGGATGAAGATGCCAGAGTGCGGGAGTACTGGTATAAGACACCATTGATGCTCTTCCCTAAGATGAACTCGAAGGTTGCTAATTCAACACCTGTCACATGTCCTATTATTGCAGCAGTGTCAGGTGTGGGTTCGTCATAGTCATTCTGGGTGCCCTATGTGCAGTGCTTGAGATCATGCTGCGAACACTGACTGTGGACACATTGGCACGTCTTGGTTTTGAACTGTCATGTTACTGGTGCAGGAGGGGGGAAGGGCACAGCGCCTAGCGGAAGCTCGAGCGCGCCTATTGGGACAATGCAAACCTGCTCCCAGCAGCCCCCTGTCTGCAGACTCTGCTGTTTCCCAACGTCCCAGTCGGGCAGCTGCCTTTCCTGTTCCCCGCTATCCAGTGTCCCGCAGCAACAGTGACAGACCGCATGGGTACATCCGCAACGCGCGTTCACTGGATGCTCCCAACTCCCAGGGGTCGGGAGACCAGTTTGGGATTGCGCATCGGGGTCCAAAGGCGCCCAACCTTGTGACTGTAGCTGAGAGTCAGGGAGATCAGGCCAGCCCAGCAGGCAAGACCAAAGAAAAATGGACAGAGCGTGCCTCACGACAGATTTCCAGCGTGGCAAGCCGGTTCAGGAGAAAGGTTGAGCGGCGGCACAAGGCAGGCGAAGGGGAGCGGGCTGACCTGGACAGGCGACAGTCCATTGGTGCTGCCATGGGCCGAAACTGCGATGCCTATGACACCCCAGGACCTGAAGGGCCCAGATGTCCACCCGACAACTTGTTCATTCCGTCGGGACCTCCAGACAGCGTCTACATTCCTGCTGGGGACGATTCTCAGAGCCTAACAATGTCGATGGACTCTGCGACACAGCTGCCGATGATGGCTATCGATCCACGGACGGGCACGGCTGCGCCTGTGTATGCCAGCGGTTGGTCATACGAGAATGGCTATGTGTTGTCTTCCCCGCTGGCCATATGGAACGATGAAACCACAGTCGACGAGCAGGGTGATGCGACTGGGGCCGCAGAGGGCATAAAGGGTGCAGATCTCAACCAAAGTCGGAGCAATGGTGACGTTTGCCAATCCGAAAGAGCGTTGGAGGGCGACTGCAGCGGTACTGTTGATCCCGATGTGGGGGAGACGATGCTGGACGGTCAAGCTGTTCAGAGGAGAAAAGGACTGGATGTCTCCAGGTCAGGGCAGCAGCGTCCACCTGGGCAGTCTCCAGCCAGGAGGGCACCTGCAGAGTGGGAATACGAGTCAGGCCCTCACACGACCTGCATCCTCAGCAATGAGGAGGGCAGTGCCAGCACGCCTAGCAGGTCGCGCAAGCCTGGTAGGATGGAAACGATGGCAAAGAAGATTTTTGGTGATTCATCTTGCAAGGAATTCACTACCCAGCTCTGCCCCTCAGTCGATGGTGCTGACTCTTGCACGCCCTCCATTGTATCTGAGTGCGCCTTTGAACCCAAGCCCACGCTCCGGCTGCAGACGGCTCTGTCTGAAGGTAGCCAGGAAGCGAGTCCGCACGCTGTGTTCTCAGAGCTGAAACCTCAGCTTCCTGCACTGCGCGTGCCTAGCAGATGCAGCACAGAGATGCCACTTCCTCCCGACGACGACGTGATGGTCGACTCGCTGGACTGTTGGAACAAGTTTGTGTGGGAAGACGAGGGGAAGAATGTGGCCAAAAGCGTCACACAGTCTGAGTACGATGATGCAAGGCCTCCCAGACCCTCGATCTGTTTCTCAGACAAACAATTGGTCCTACCATCCACGAGGCCTGAGTCAGAGCCTACTGAACATGTGCCTGTGGCCGGCAACTGCAGTGCTGCATCGTTCCGAGGTCCGGTTAACTTGAACGTCGCGGCCTCTTACAGCTCTGACGGTCCCCTGTACCGCAGGTCGATGTTCTACCAGCCTGGGCTCTCCTCTGGAGAGGAATCTGATGACGATGGTGATGACGACTCACGCTACACCCCAAGCCAGTTTGTGTTGCAGCTCAAGCCCAAGTGTGCACACAGGCGCTGGCACTCAGACTGCCTCCATGGAATATCTGCAGTTCGTGACAACTATGACGACACATGCAGGTCTCAGTCACACCGTAGTCTATGCCGAAGAGATGATCTGTCCGACATTCGATCGGACTACACAAGGAGCTACGACGGCTACCCTCCCAGGCCAGGCTATTCCTACCGGTCTGGCTTCACTGATTTGATCCTGCCAGACTTCCGCAGTTTCAGGGACCAGGACCTGTACGGTAACGCTAACAGATTGCAGCGTGAAAAGAAACCAGCGAAGTCATGGCTGGACGAGCTGCAGGAGACGGCAGACTTGAGACGCAAGGAGTGTACATACAGGATAGCGTGCCAAAGGGCGATTCTGCAGAACATGAAGGATAATTTGCAAGCAAGGTGCGGAGCGCGCCAATGGGTTTGTTGTCCACGAAGAAGTACCTTGAACAAGTGCATTAGCCGTTGCAAGAGCCTTGTTCAACGAGAATAAGGCACAGGCTGCTGAGCCACTGCCACTTTGCTTGACTACCACTTTGTGTTGTGACGCAGCAAGCTTGCCTTCGACCGCATCAAGGCGGGTTTGTGTCCTCAGTTGACTTCAGGGGTTGCAGAGCTGAGGCGTCGCTGGGGGGGAAAACGAAGAGTGCTACGGCGTAGGAAGCTCGCAATCGCACTGAAGCAAGAAGAAGACGAAATCTGGGATGACTGCCCTCTAATGGTAAGCAAGCTACCCCAAGATATTACCAGATTGTGAAAGATTTTGAGATGTGGGGATTGACGGAGATTGTTCATTCTGGTTGGTTTGTTAGTGTAAACTGGTGTGCAATCACCTTAATTGAAAATTTAGGTTGAAGATGTAGGGCACTTCAAGACAGTCAACATGCTGTGCTGTGTCAAAGTACTGTAGTCCGGTTGATTTGGACGTAGGCTTTATCAGTTTGTGTTCAATCGCATCCTGGGAAACCTTGAGGGGGGCAGATCCTCTGCCACATTTCTGGACATGGTGACTTTTGTGGGTATGCGCTTGTCTAGGGCATAATGGAGGCGCTGCTGAAGCCCTCTGCAGCGTGCACTGTGTTACCACTTGCCCCATGCTTTTGTTGGGAAACATCGCAGAAGCATATCTCAGACACCTTGCCTGGCTTACTTCTGGGTTAGCTTCATAGAAAAATTCCCCATCGCAGACAATACATGAGCTGTTAGGCGCATGGAGAGACAACAGATCTTGCACACATACTCTTGCTCAATCTTGTGTTGTAGATGTGCATTGGGTTAGTGCAAGGCAGTGTTCTGCTGCCTTGACATAATTAGGAGCTGTAATTCATGTAGTTGTTTCGAACGCCCCTCTTTGTGTGCCATCAGATTTGAGGATGCTCACCATTGCCAGGCTTTATTGCTGGAGGCCTGCGATTGACTGAGCAGCAAGCCAGAGCTGTGGTCGCTGCGGACAGCAACCCATGTGGCCTTTTGACGTCCATGGTGGCGTTGCTGAGTCGACTTGTTGAGTAAGATCAAACGTCTGTTTGCACGGTGTGCCATGGGAAGAAAATGCTCAAAATGGTTTGCGACCAGTATTCTTGGGAAAGACACATAATTGACACGTACCTCTGGCCCTTTATGGGCTTTGTGGTGGCCGAATTCTGGGAGGATGAGATTGGGAGGAGTTCGGTTGTTGCATCAATAAATGTGTTCTTGCCTCAGGAGTCCTGTGCACAGATGTTTTTGGATTTGTTGGAAGAATGAGTGTTCAGGGATTGTGGAGGCGCCGCTGCGATGGCCCCACGGTCTTACTTGGCCTTTCCCATTGGCACAGCTGGGTGCTGTGGGATGCAATATCAATTTGTGGAAACGGTGATTGCAGTTGCCATGTAGTTGAGGGGCCACATCCACGGCGCCACGGGCCAGTCGTTGCTCCCTACTGATCGAATGATGCACATCGAAGCTGATAATGAGTGCTGATAATCGATCGGAGCGGGGTCCTCTAAGATCCTAGCGGGTGAGGATCAGCAGAGCGAGGCAGCCTACATTGCAGGGATGAGCGGCTGTGCTGGCTATCGCCAGATTTCTGTGGCACAGGATGGCCTGAGGCGACTGAGGGTGCATGACAGGGCACCGTTTGGGTGGGTGGGCGTAGCGCACTTCCAATTATAGGGGAAAAACGTAACGAGACCTGCTGTTTCAAGAAAAATATTGATGGGGCGTTCCCTGTAGGTGTCCGCGCAAGCTCGAGTTAGACTATACTGCCAGTCTCTATGGGGAGGGGAGGCACTGGGAATGTATGTGGGAGTGCCTCCGCGTTGTAGGTTACTGGTTTTTGGGTTGGGTGCTTTAGTTGATTGCCCTGTAACATAATTCGCGAGTGTGGAAAGGGGGGGCCACCGCCAAGCAGTCGATGAGGGCGTTGCAGACGGCCGTCTCCCGAGGTCAATGCTGGAGAGCACTTAAGTGGAGCGGTGCGTGCTGCATGGGCGGTGTGGTTGACAGGGGCAACTGCACGCACAGGGTGCATTGCTGCAATTTTAGTGGATATGATGATAGGGGAAGGCTCCCCGTTCCTGGGCGCCGGCATGCATGATAACTGCGTGCTGGCACACTGGGCCCCATGATTTTGTGGTCGCGCGCCATTCCTGTGTGCGGAATTTGTTTGCTGTCCTCAAGTGCCTGGTGGGTTTTTCTAAGTCTTTGCTGGGCTTTCTTGCCAGCCTTGGAACGATTGGCGACGCCTGCACGCTGCTGGTTGCGTGCAGAAATCTGCGCAGCAGCGGTGTGGTGAAAGGATGCGGACGGAAGAATTGTGTGGGGTTCTTTGGCAGTTGCTCAGTGGGCGTTGGAGGGGGGTGGTGTGGGTGTGGAGGATTGCAGTGGTCGCAGTTTGTTCAACCCGCCTTTTCCTCTCTTTTTTGGTTCGAACGGGTCCATCGCCCGATTTCATTGGCATTTTTCATTGGTTGCTGAGCAAAGCGTGGTGGAGTTCTGGCAATTTGCCAAGGAGCGACGATCAACAATGCCCTCAAGGCCGGGAAGAGGTTGACTTTCCTGCCGCTGACATGACGTTTGCATGTTTGTTTGGTTGCAATTATGTCAATTATCCCTTCAGGCTGTGGGGAAGGGCTGTGCCGTGTCCCAACCCGCTCCTTGGTCTCCCTTCCTGCTTGCCGTGCTCATTGGGCGTTCCCTTGCTGGGCCTCAACGTGGTGTCCATCAATAAGGTTTCAGGCTACAGTTGGATTGGTAGGCGCATGTGCGTCTGTGTATGCAGGCATTGAACCGTAGCATGGGAGCACCTGGCTAGCACGGCTGCGGGACTCTCTTTGACTGCAAAGGGAGAAAGGGGGGAATTATGTTATGAGAATGATGCGTGGCAGTTGCTGCCGTAGTGGTGAGGGTCCTCGTGGAAGTAGGTACATTGTAGGTCCCATCGGAGATGTATGGACACGGCATTTAATACTTAACCATTGCCGATCACGTTGTGGGACCGCACGTCTGATCCCGTTGCCGGTGTCAGCCCCTGCCTCTTCGTTGCTGATCCCGGTGAAGTGCTGCAAATATGGAAATTCTGTGTCTGCGAGCTTGCTCCAAAACTGCAACGGAGTGTAACGCGGTGGGCGCGAATGGCGCGTGGCGCCAAGACGGCCATTACTGAAGGGGCTCCCATTAGCAAAGCTTGCCCAATTCATACCCTGTGGCGTCGACATGCTTGGAGTTATTGCCGCCATGCACCGTATTACCGTTTTGTAATGCGACAATGGCAACATGGCAGCTCATGCTATAAACCGAACGTGGTCAAAAGCTGCCGATTAAAAGCCAGACTTGAAAGAGCCACGATGACAAGTATCGCTCAGGTACTCAACTTTTGCTGAAAGCAAGGCTCCTTTGTTTTGTTGTGCAGTCCTCAGGTGCAACTCAACTGCTCAATGGTGGTGGACTGGGAGGTTTCCAACATGCCAACAAGTCAGAAGTTTTAACAACGTTCAATGCAGGTACATTGCGTTCCTTTACACCCAGCAGTCATGACAACTGCCAAAACCTGCCGACTGGCATGAAAACAATACTTGGCCAATGCGGCCAATGAAATCAACCGGGGCGCGAGGGACCAACGCGTTCCCCTCCTTACCCCACCCCACCCCGCCCCGCCCACCCACTTTTCCCTTTCGTTCCTGGTCAGTTGCCAGTCAATCCATGCAGTTCATTCTTGACAGACGGACTGACATCTCCACGAGTGAGCACTCAGCTGCCACATCTCCTCTGACAAATTCATTGACATTCCCATCGTAGATGCGTTCATTCTCCACCACTATCCCTTTCCTTCGCCGCTTTCTTTGCTCGGTGTTTCTTCCCTTTGCTGCGCTCATCCTTCCCTCTCTTAGTCTTCTTGCCTACCTTCTTCGTCTTCGTCTTCACCTTCGCTTTCTTTTCCTTCTCTCTTCCCTCTTTCTTGCGGCTCCTGTGCTTTCTGCCTCCCGGGCTCCCACTCGCATCAGTTGTTTCTGTCCTCGGTTCCCTCACAAGCCAATCTGGAACGATCGGGCCAATTGGGTGCCGCGAAGAGTCCTCTCCCGCCGTTGGGCTGGGAGTCGCTGCCTCCTCCTCGAAAGGCCCTGCATGCTCCATATGAGAGCCAACCGCTCCCCTGCCCCTGCAACAGAATGCCCAGCGGTGGGTACAAGCGAACAAACCATGCACTGAATAGCCTCGCTGCCGCAAGCAACGCTTCGACGGTCTCGTGCGCACTGCAGAAGGTGCTTCTATCAACAATCGAGTGCAAGACCGGGAGAGCACAGGTAATGAGCAAACCTCAGACATTGGCTCGCTTGCGTTGTGTTTGAGCATGCGCAACACTTCAACATCGACCCAGGCTCCCATGCTGCATCACTGGCTGTGTAGCTGTGGAGAACTTTTCCTTCCATAAACAGTTCGATCCAAGACAAAGCAACGATTTGTGTGAAAATGCCAAGTCATTGAAGAAATGAGCCACGAGGGGCCATGCTGATCATTGATGCACCTTAGTTGACTGACAGTTTAGTAGCATGCATATTCAGGAGTGGTTCTACAACCACAATTAGTATAACAGCACAAGTGAGAGTAGGGAACACTGGTGGTGCCAAATGAACTTGTGCTTCTTGAAATCCACACCGATCTCAGCAGTCGCTGACTGGCAAAGCACTGGCCCCAATCCACAGGAGCACGTTCCCACGGTGCTTTCAATTGCTGCTCGTCATCGACCAGCCCTGGGTACCGACGGTTCGCCACGACAAGCAGTAAAGATCTCTCGCAATCCTACAATGGAAAGAAGTTGCATTCTGCTTCTTGAGTCCACATGCATCAACAGCAGCCAGTGAGATGTGGAAAGCAGTTAACAACATTCGGAGTGCGTAGTGCCTCATGCCACATCGCGATGTACCTTGTCCGCCGACGTGACAGAAAGGCGTCCAGCTGTGCAGCATCCATTCCCTCCGCAGTGCACGCCCTTTTGTGAGGAGAACTTTGCGCAGCCTCCAGGGAGCCCGCTGGAGCTGGGCATGGGGATGCTTGGAGCTCGACATCACTGTACCTTGCTGGCTTGCATGTCCTCCTCACTGAGATAACACAACAGGAGTCCAGCCTTGTGCGCTCACCTTACCCGCAATAAAGAATTCTCAAGCACAAGGAATGCAAAGTTCAGCGAAAACTCCAATGCACGGAGTTGCTGGAGTATTTGTGACGTCAAGGACACTGCATGGTTTTCACGCTTCTCTGTGAAGGCTAGGCTTGTTGTCTAGGCCCACAGTGCAAATGCAGGCCACCATTCTTGTGTTGCCCAAAATGTGCTCAACAAACTGGAGTAGAACGAACCCACTGGAACATCCCCTTCCTAGGGCCCATCTGAGATCTTCGGCTGACTAGGTTGAACTTCAATTCAGACCAGGTCGAACCTTTTCTTCCCATATCCAAGCTCTTCATAACACCTGTTTCGCATTGCTGTATTTAGTGTCACAGTGCAGTGAACACTAAAGTGCACACCATTGCTGCAGTGTTCCGGTCCTATGCTACTCCCTCTGCTAAGCATCTCACAAGCTTCCACTTCCCTGCCATGCCTTCTGTATATTTGCCATATGCACGTTGCAATGCATCACAGTAGCAGTGGTTGGGGAGATGAATGCTTGCCCTGATACTCCAGGCTGCAACATTGGGCACCATAAGAAGAGACGTTGCTGCTGCTGCAACAAATGCCCACAAGTCCAAAAGGCTCACAAACACAAGGAAGCGAAGGCCAGCCCTATTGCAAAGCGGCCCCTCCCAGGTTCTCCATTCCAGTTTCTTGCTCGATGGTCTGAACACTATGCTTTTGGAATGCATGTTCCACTCCATTCAACCCTCAACAATTCTAACCAATCCTTTCCACTGGGTGCTTTCCCAGCAGCCTCGTGCTACAATTTTTCCTGGTGAAACTTTGTTGAGATGCAAGCTGGCACACAATTCCCCACAGCAGCCATGCGAAGGTTTGCGGCTTCTAGGCAAGGGGGCAAGAGCCAGGGCTGAGCATCAAAAATATGGCACTATTGTAAACTGCGGCACACGCAGTGGTGATTGGCACTGAGGGGACCACTCACAGGTGGGGCTGCAGCTCCTGTGTTTCCTCTTGCTTGTGCGGCCATCCCTTGACCGCCCCTTCCTTTCGTCCAAGTGGCGTTGCTGATCCCTTGCTCTCCACATCTGGTCCTCATCGACCCTGCGATTGGCTGCAAATGCAGATGAGCCAGAGATCCGAGCCTCATGGATGCAAACTGACATCCACATTGATGACATGTACCAAAACATGCTGACAAACTACAGAGTAGCAATATTAGCTAGAAGGTATCGTGTTGAATGGCTGGTGGTGAGTACCTGACCCTTTGGATGAAAGGAATCATAAATATTCACCTGTAAGGCGTTGCCCAACAGGGTGTGTCCAGCAAGATTACAAGGTGCTGCTGCCGAGTTTGCTCAAGAAGGCAGGATTGGCAGCAAGCAATGCTGCCTGAAGAGGAACTGTTTCATGCATCCAAACCCACAACTGAAGGAAGTGCATGCTGTTTTGTTTCAAGATGAGCGTGGTCTTGTTGAGAGTGTTGTGCCAAGTTGGCATGGCATTCATAAATGGCACTAATGGGTGACTTGTTGACTGGCTGGGGACTTGGGGCGTTGGGCTTTGGCACTATTTTTGTTAGGTCACCATACAGCAGCGGAATCTGACACTGTTCCAGTATTGTCACTCAGCAGCAGCTTTGGACACAACTGGACGATCAACGTGTTTCACCACACTAACTATAAGGATGCATCATTCACGTTTCAGAAGGCAATGCACAATTGTATTTGTCTTTGCCTCCAAAATATTGCAACACATTTAAGATGCCAAGTGCCAACCATCCATCCAGAAAACACATGGGCCTTGCTCACAAGAGAGTGCAAGGCGATGTGAAAATACCCAAAATTGGTCGAATGGAAATGAATACGCAAAAACAATCCAAGAAGAGAAGCGCAACATCTGAAGTGTGGGGTGCGGTAAGGAGAGAGGGGGGGAGCCTGGTAGGTCGCGTATCACAATTAATCGCAATGGTCTTATTTGTATGTGGCTTTGTCGGGAAGTGGGTTCTGCTGCTGCTGGTAGTTCCCCCCTGTTGCTGCCGGCCGACAGCAACAAGCTCATCCCAGTCTGCAAGGCTTCCAAAAGCAGTGCAATAAGAGTTGTCAATGCAAGACTGATCTCCTCATCAATTTGTATCTGCCTGCTGGAGCTGGAGGAAAGCTGATGGATGCAACAGTTGAGCTTACCCTGCCAGGATGCACGATCAACAGTTCAGACTGCGACCTGAACAACAGAAAAGTAGCCGAAAGACGACCCATACGTGCAGGCTTCCTCCACTGACATTGCATGGCAAAGGGCAACTCAAACTGATTGGCAAAGTGCTCAATTTTCCGATAATCTCAAACAGCACTTCATGCTGGCATGTGGGCCGCCCTGCACTGATCAAATGTGTGGCCCAAGCTGCTTTGCGCAGTTTCGCAGTTCTGCATAGCTCCTTCAAGAAAATATGCTGCCTTCACTCACCAAAGGCAACGCTACTCAGCGTGTTCCTCAGGAACCGCTCGTTGGGCCGTTCGCGGTGCACAGGTTTCTGGAGGTACGCTGTCACACCTTGCTCTGAAGCAACACAGCGCCAAACTTGAGTGCATAAAGCAGGTTGCCCGACATCGCAGGCACAAGGCGGACATCCAATCAATGCTGCAGCGTGCAAAATGTCGTGAGCTCTTCTGCAGTTTTTCGCCCGTACGCCAAAACCAAGCTGCTAAAGAGCTTGAGAGCTTTCGGTTTCAGCAAAGAGCTCGCAGCGTCAGTGTAAATCTGGGGCGCGAGGCAAATCACTTTGCAATGTTCTGACAGCAGGCAAATCAAGAATCGAACCAGCTTTCGACCACGTGGGCACTTCATGCTGTGTGCGCAGGCCGCTCTCCCAGCCCCTACGCACTTGGGCGGCCTACAATCCAGATTCCTGAAGGGATTACTCGAATATCGGCCGCGTACGAGTGACTGGGTTCGTCGGGGCGCACAACCCGACGCATCATCGCGGTACTCGAACCTTTGGCCCTTTCTTCCAGCTGCTGCGCATCCCGCATCAGTAGCCTAGCGAGCTGCATCTCCGTCGCGAGGTCCATGGCCGCCTTCGCACGGGCGTGCGCCTCCTCCGCCATGGCGCGCTGCGGGCTGGGAGCGCCACAGGGCCCAGTGTGATACAGGATGCCTTCGGACAGGGCGCTTATGGAAATTGGAGCTGTCGTAACTAGAACTGATCGAGTATCATTGACAGCAGGACGGATATTGAGGTGATGAGGCATTTAGAATTGCATTAGTTAATGCATGTCCTTATAGGGACATCGATAGACGGACTGGATATAAGGGACAGAACTCCTGCTGTCCCTTTGCTCGGCTGTAAACCGTTGCCGTGTACTCGGGCCTACGGTCTCCAGTCAGGGGTCGCCACCCTTCGGCACTGCCTGCCTCCGTCTGCGCCAATTTTGCAAACAATTTTCCGCCACCGAAGCCAATATTGTGTTGTATTGGTGCAGAGAATTAATTTTGTTGGACCAACATAAATGGTTCCTCTGCCGGAAACAAAATCGCAACGCTCATGCAAAATCGTGCGCGATGCTGGGGTACTGTATCACACCGCAAGGAGCCGCGCTGGACATCTGCTGATTGGGCCCGTGTTGTTAACCCCGCTTGCCTGTGAACTTTCGCGCAGAACTACCCGAAGAGACTGTACAAGCAATGGCCCCCGGATTGAGAAGACGAGCAAGAGTAAGTCGAGTTCTGGTTCTGGTGAGGGAAATTGCACGTCGTCCAAACGACTATTCACACGGCAAGCTGGAGTTGTTGATGCTGGAACCCTCGTGAACGAACCAGCATGTTTCTGACAAGGCGCACGGACCAGACGCTGTGGAGCAATGAGAAAACCAATCAGACGTTGACAGACCCCTCTCTCTAACTGGGCAATTCTTCGACCACCTACGCATGATTGGTAAGGAGAATTCGCAACACCCACGGTGACATAACCCTATTCTTGTCCAGATTCCATGATAAGAATGGCTTTCCTTGGAGCGCTATGCTAGCCCCTTACACACTCGGAATAAGCTGTTGCTGCCAGAATTAAATTCAACCAAACCTCTATTGAACTTCAGAAGTTCCACAGTTCAGACGTTCGACTTCTGTCACGGAGATAGTGTGACATCAAATGAACATGCACCAACGAAGGCAAAACAATGAAACGGAGCACATTTCCAGAGCCCACTGAATGTGTTCATAAGGTTTCGGATGCCACAAGGATGGTATGGTGCGAGATTCAACTTGCCCTAGATATGGGGCTTAGTAAGTGCTTCAGACATCGTCATCTGGAGCCGAGCTGGCCCAGCTCATCATTCCGATGATGCTCTCGTATCAACAGGAACGTCGGTCGATTGAACAAATTTTTGGGCAATCGGCTAACATTCCAGCTTTGGTCACCAAAGCTGGAGCACACGCAGTGGTGTCGTCGAGGAGAGGGGTACACAGTTCATTACACGCTTTCCTTTTTCTTTTGCGCGGACAATCTTCAGTGGCGATTCACAAGGAGTGCACATCTCCGCACATGGCTGCATCCAATTCCCAAGTGGGCCCTTCTCGTTTCCATAACTATAGCGATGAACGCAACGCTTGGGCAACAGCTGTTTACCTTCTAAAAATATGGTCCTTGGCTCCAACACGCGCTGCCAATCCGCCACTTCCATCAAGAATATACCACATGATTGCAAACTACAATTTGGTCACATTTTACAAACGTCTGCTTCGTTACAGCCCATACATGTACCATAAAATCAGGATGCCTGAGTCACTGACCCCACAAGAACCTTCCCGTGCCAGCCCAATTTGAAGCCATTCATTTCATGCCACAATTTCAATCCTAACCTCAGCGCAGTGCTATATCATCGCTCGGCTCCACACGAATCGAAGCCAGTCGGTTCCAGCCGACAGTTATTCACTTGCTGAGAGTACAATTCAACCAATGCCTGCAATCCTGGGCCTTGCTTATTTGCTACCTAGACCAACAATAATACAGTGCACCCACTATGCACACGTCATCGTTCACAGAAACTCGTTGGCCCCGCAGCTCCTACACCCCATTCGCCACCGGCGTTCGTGCAAAACTGACTTATTGAGTAAGGGGAAGTCACACAGACCATAGGTGGCTCCTGGGGGGAAAAAAATTTAGTATATACCGAATAGTGCATCGCACCGCGACCAGCAGCATCCGTTGAAATCTGACCCTGAACAAAATCAAGACCACTGGGTGGGCGTCCAGCTTGCTTTCAACCCGCACCACAACACAGTGACAGCAGCTATGAAGAGCGTCGACCTTTGAACTGCTATGTGTGTGGACATTCTCCAAAGAGATACCCACGGCTCAATCAATTTGCAAAGGATAGAAAGAGAAACTTGCAGGGATGTGTGAGGGAATGGGGAAGGGTGTTGGACATGGCTCCCTTGGCGCATTAGGTCACTTGCTGCCATGACGCAAGTTCCCCGTCTCGAACGAGTTTCACCATCCCTCTCATTGACTGCTGGCTGAAAACCTCCTCACGGAGGGCATTCAATTCGCTCATGATCTCATCCCTGCAGCCGCATGGTTCACACAGAACTGCATTCATGGGTCTCACACAGGCATGGTTTCGGCATCTTGACACATCAAACGGAGTTTGGGCACATATGCATTGTCACAGAACATATGCTTCAGATGCAAAGTTCAAACTGCTGCTACCCCACTGCAATGGCTCAGAATATGTGCCCTCTGATACACGTCGCCGTGGGGCACCTTGGGACTGTCGTTCACATCGACTCACACCTGTTGGAATCACCACTGCTGCAGCATGAAAACAGGGAGGGGCAAAGGTCCGTGCGCAAATGTATAGGGCAGCTCACAGAGCATGCGGTGGGCAATTTCCATTGGGCTTCTCATGATCGCCAGCATGTTGCACCACATCATATTGGTAAGAAGCAGTCCTCTTCCCCAGAATCCGCACCGAATGTCATAAAGGCAAGCGATTTCCTCATATGCCACATTCAATTCTTCAAAAGCAGCTGGTCCCCTTCCCGGTTGGCCCCTTGGATGCTTTCCGCTGAGAAGCTTCCTTGCTGCCAGTGCAGCAATCCTCTCCTTCAACAGCTCCACCTCTTCTTTCATTGCGACATTGGCCTGCATCACTGGTGACCGGTACGCCTCGATGCAACTCGCTGCATTGTCACCTGCCACTCTCCTGTAGCTCTCCTCGAGCTTGTGTTTGACCAACAAGGCTTCCTTCAGTTGCTGATCTTTGATCTGTGTACCACCAACAATCACTTGATTCTTTGGCTGTACTCACATGTTTATGTCACATCGTTGCATTGTTCCGTAAAAATGGGGAGCAACATTTAGATGCAGACCTCCCATACAATAAGCAGCTTCTTCAACCTGGTACACCTCCATGATCTACTACCAAAAGGGGTTGAGACTTTGTTGACACGTTCAAATGGCACATCTCATGGGCTGATTAGTGCATTGTGTCACAGATCAGCACATCCACTTTCCACATACACCTTATCTGGACCACAGGACTGTCCACATCCATAGGTCAAGGCAAACAGGATTGCAGTCCGACGTCAAACTCGATCACTGGAAACATGCCCAAAATTCCAGCTTGCACCTGAAGCTGCCTCCTCAAATCAGCAAGCTCAGCCATCATGCCCAAGCCAGGGCCAGGACCAGCCTCTCCCTCCCTGCCTGAACCCTGGGCATCCCCTTCTGGCTCTGGGCTTGCCGGCTGCCCGTCTGGCCTGCCCTTCAACTGCTCCAACACCTTGGCGTTCTCCAACCCCCTCCTCTTGTCGACCTCACACCCTTTCTGCCTCTGAACATGCTGCTGCATGGCCACGACCTGCTGCTCCGCATGTGCCTTCTCCTGTTCCAGGGCAGCTGCTGCCAGTTTCTCTGCCAGCAGGCTATCCTGTAGCTGTTGCACTTGCTGATCTTTGGCATCAAGCAAGAGCGCAGTGTTGCTAGCACTGGCAGCCTGCTGTCTTGCCTCTACCACCTCGTGCTCCAGGTCTCCGATGATGACATCCCTCTGGTGGACCTGCTCAACAAGGCGCCTCTTTTCTGCCTCAAGGCGGGCCAAACTCTCCAAAAACTTCTGGGCACCTGTAGCACTGCACACATAATGTGGCCTTCAGTTGGAACACTTTGCACAACTGGTGCACAGTTCAATGTCTTTGCTTTGCAGCGTTCTGGGCAGTCTGTTTCAAGAGTGGAGGTGTCGAAAGCCAACCCATGCCATGTAGTGAATCCTATTGCACCAATATGCGGCAAGACAAAACTCCCACAATGGCACATATTCTTGAAGGATTCGCCTCCCTGGTTTCATGTGCAGCTGCCATTTTGCAGCCATAATTCGATTTATCCATCAGATTGCATATGGCCACGTAAGTTGTCAACCTGAGATGCGAATGCAGAAGTCTCAGGTGGCAAGTTGGCACTGCTGTCTTATTGGCATACACCACAGACCATCATGGCCGCAAGAACACAGTATTGACTCCTCATAAAAACAGTATCGAGGGACACACTGGATATCTCTGCAAAGCAGCAAAAAAGGCAAGATGCCCCACACACAACAACCGTCCTCAACAGTTCAGTTCAACAGGTACTCAGGCCATTCAAAATGAATGGGGGGCTTCAGAGCGTCACTGCTGCTAGGTTGCATGGAGCTTGTGACAACAGACATAGGGTGTGCAGAGGAGCAAAATTCGTTACCAAAGCATCAATGCAATGGACTGGCCCAGCACATCCAACTGAGAAACTTGCCTTAAATTGCACTCAGTCCCAACCCCATGGCAATCATGTTGGTGCCTGATGACCCTGTTCTCCAGGGTCAATCTCTCGACTTCCTCCTGCAGCTCTGCCACAATGTTGGACCTCTTCTGGGACATCAACTTCCGTTCATACCTGAACTCCCCAAGCCTTTGAGATGCCCTCTCCTTCAGGTTCTCAAGGTAGCTATCTAAATTCTGATCATGGAACAGAACAGCAGCACAGTGAGGCAAAATAGAAGTGAGGGGCATGGCAACTGCCCAGCAGGCCTACTGTCCAGCAAACGACACAAACACAAAGTATGGGAGTACATCTACA